ATGGCGAAGTATGGGAGGCGAAAAAAACACTTTTTTTTAAATTTTCGAACTATGGGCGAACTATGGGCCAAGTGTGGCGAAGTATGGGAGGCGAAAAAAACACTTGTTTTTAAATTTTCGAACTATGGGGGAACTATGGGCCAAGTATGGCGAAGTATGGGAGGCGAAAAAAACACTTTTTTTTTAATTTTTGAACTATGGGCGAACTATGGGCCAAGTATGGCGAAGTATGGGAGGCGAAAAAAACTTTTTTTTAAATTTTCGAACTATGGGGGAACTATGGGCCAAGTATGGCGAAGTATGGGAGGCGAAAAAAACACTTTTTTTTAAATTTTCGAACTATGGGCGAACTATGGGCCAAGTATGGCGAAGTATGGGAGGCGAAAAAAAAACTTTTTTTTAATTTTTGAACTTTGGGCGAACTATGGGCCAAGTATGGCGAAGTATGGGAGGCGAATAAAACACTTTTTTTTAAATTTTTGAACTATGGGCGAACTATGAGCCAAGTATGGCGAAGTATGGGAGGCGAAAAAAAAACTTTTTTTTAATTTTTGAACTTTGGGCGAACTATGGGCCAAGTATGGCGAAGTATGGGAGGCGAAAAAAACACTTTTTTTAAATTTTCGAACTATGGGGGAACTATGGGCCAAGTATGGCGAAGTATGGGAGGCGAAAAAAACACTTTTTTTTAAATTTTCGAACTATGGGCGAACTATGGGCCAAGTATGGCGAAGTATGGGAGGCGAAAAAAACACTTTTTTTTAAATTTTCGAACTATGGGCGAACTATGGGCCAAGTGTGGCGAAGTATGGGAGGCGAAAAAAACACTTGTTTTTAAATTTTCGAACTATGGGGGAACTATGGGCCAAGTATGGCGAAGTATGGGAGGCGAAAAAAACACTTGTTTTTAAATTTTCGAACTATGGGGGAACTATGGGCCAAGTATGGCGAAGTATGGGAGGCGAAAAAAACACTTTTTTTTAAATTTTCGAACTATGGGCGAACTATGGGCCAAGTATGGCGAAGTATGGGAGGCGAAAAAAACACTTTTTTTTAAATTTTTGAACTATGGGCGAACTATGGGCCAAGTATGGCGAAGTATGGGAGGCGAAAAAAAAATTTTTTTTTAAATTTTTGAACTATGGGCGAACTATGGGCCAAGTATGGCGAAGTATGGGAGGCGAAAAAAACACTTTTTTTTAATTTTTGAACTATGGGCGAACTATGGGCCAAGTATGGCGAAGTATGGGAGGCGAAAAAAACACTTTTTTTAAATTTTCGAAATATGGGGGAACTATGGGCCAAGTATGGCGAAGTATAGGAGGCGAAAAAAACACTTTTTTTTAAATTTTCGAACTATGGGCGAACTATGGGCCAAGTATGGCGAAGTATGGGAGGCGAAAAAAACACTTTTTTTTAAATTTTCGAACTATGGGCGAACTATGGGCCAACTATGGAAGATTGGAGGAAGTTGGAAGTTGGAAGATTGAAAAAAAAAGATTTTCTCGCATCCCATACTTCGCCATACTTTGCCCATAGTTCACCCATAGTTCGAAGATTCGAATAAAATGATTTTTTCGCCTCCTATTCTTCGCCATTCTTGGCCCATAGTTCGCCCATAGTTCAAAAATTAAAAAAAAGTGTTTTTTTCGCCTCCCATACTTCGCCATACTTTGCCCATAGTTCGCCCATATTTGAAGAATGTGAAAAAAATGATTTTTTTTGCCTTCCATAGTTCGCCATACTTGGCCCACAGTTCGCCCATAGTTCAAAATTTTTTAAAAAAAGGGTTTTTTTAAAGCCATACTTGAACTATGGGATTCCCTCATTAGCAATACTTTTGCCATACTTTGTCAGCTTTTGGCCATCTTTAACCCATAGTTGGCCATACTTTGCCATCTTTGCCCCATACTTCCATTTCCACGCGGGAAGTCACTGTTATTTGTGTTAATTTAAGGTGGTTTAAACAGAGATAATACATAGTTGCTCATATTTTCTCAAAATAAAGTAATTTTGCCCAGCATTTTACCCATTTTTCATCCGTTTTTGTCCTTTTTTTAAAAAAGAGGTATAACTTTTTTGTTTTAATCGCTATTAAAAATTGTCAGACGAAAAAAGACTACAATGAGAAAGAAAATTGAGGACGAAGTCGAGGACTAACTTGAACCAAAAATAAGGACGAATAGGAGGACTAACTTAAGAAAAAAAATCAGGGCGAAAATGAGGACTAACTTGAAACTAAGTTGAGGACTAATTTGAAAATCAAAAATGAGGACGAAGTTAAGGACTAACTCAAAACGAAAATGAGGACGAATTTGATAACAAAGATGGGAACTAACTTAAGGACGATGTTGAGGACTAGCTTGAAACGAAAATGAGGACGAACATGAGGACTAACTCAAAAACGAAAATAAGGACGAAGTTTAGGACTAACTTATGAACGAAAATGAGGACGAAGTTGAGGACTAACTTGAAACGAAAATAAGGACGAAGTTGAGGACTAACTTGGAAACGAAGTTGAGGACTAATTTGAGAAAGAAAATGAGGACAAAGTTAAGGACTAACTTCAAACGAAAATGAGGGAAAAAATGAAAACTAACTTAAGAATGAAATTATGGACGAATTTGAGGACTAACTTAAAACGAAAATGAGGACGAATTTAAGGACAAAGATGAAAACTGACTTGAGGATGAAAATGAGGACTAACTTGAAAAACAAAAATAAGGACGAAAATGAGGACTATCTTCAAAAACGAAAATGAGGACGAATTTAAGGACCAAGATGAGAAATGACTTGAGGAAGAAGATAAGGACTAACTTGAAAACGAAAATGAGGACGAATTTGAGGACTAACATGAAAAACAAAAATGAGGACAAAGTGAAGACTAATTTGAAAAAGAAAATGAGGACTAATTTGAGAAAGAAAATGAGGACAAAATTCAGGACTAACTTCAAACGAAAATGTGGACGAATATAAGGACAAAGATGAGAACTAACTTGTGGACGAAAATGAGGACTAACTTTAAAAACGAAAATGAGGACTATCTTCAAAAACGAAAATGAGGACGAAGATGAGGACTAACTCAAAAACGAAAATAAGGACAAAGTGAGGACTAAATTAAGAACGAAAAAGTGGACGAATTTGAGCTTTAACTAGAAACGAAAATGAAAGCGAAAATGAGGACGAAATTAAGGACTAACTTGAAAACGAAAATGAGGACGATAATGAGGACTAACTTGAAATAAAAATGAGAGCGAAAATGAGGACTAACTTGAAAACGAAAATGAGGACGAAAATGAGGACTAACTTTGAAAACGAAAATGAGGACGAATTTGAGGACTAACTTGAAACGAAAATGAGGACGAAGTTGCAGACTAATATGAGAAAGAAAGTGAGGACGAAGTTGAGGACTAATTTGAGAAAGAAAATGAGAACAAAGTTCAGGACCAACTTTAAACGAAAATGAGGACAATGATGAAAACTAACTTAAGAATGAAAATGAGGACTAATTTGAAAAACAAAAATAAGGACGAAAATGAGGACGAATTTGAGGACTAACTTGAAAGGAAAATGAGGACAAAGTTCAGGAGCACAATGATGAAAACTAATTTAAGAATGGAAATTAGGACGAATTTGAGGACTAACTTGAAAAGAAAATGTGGACGAATTTTTAAGGACAAAGATGAGAACTGATTTGAGGACGAACATGAGGACTAACTTGAAACTAAGTTGAGGACTAATTTGAAAAACAAAAATGAGGACGAAGTTAAGGACTAACTCAAAAACGAAAATAAGGACGAAGTTTAGGACTAACTTATGAACGAAACTGAGGACGAACATGAGGACTAACTCAAAAACGAAAATAAGGACGAAGTTTAGGACTAACTTATGAACGAAAATGAGGACGAAGTTGAGGACTAACTTGAAACGAAAATAAGGACGAAGTTGAGGACTAACTTGGAAACGAAGTTGAGGACTAATTTGAGAAAGAAAATGAGGACAAAGTTAAGGACTAACTTCAAACGAAAATGAGGGAAAAAATGAAAACTAACTTAAGAATGAAATTATGGACGAATTTGAGGACTAACTTAAAACGAAAATGAGGACGAATTTAAGGACAAAGATGAAAACTGACTTGAGGATGAAAATGAGGACTAACTTGAAAAACAAAAATAAGGACGAAAATGAGGACTATCTTCAAAAACGAAAATGAGGACGAATTTAAGGACCAAGATGAGAAATGACTTGAGGACGAAGATGAGGACTAACTTTAAAAACGAAAATGAGGACTATCTTCAAAAACGAAAATGAGGACGAAGATGAGGACTAACTCAAAAACGAAAATAAGGACAAAGTGAGGACTAAATTAAGAACGAAAAAGTGGACGAATTTGAGCTTTAACTAGAAACGAAAATGAAAGCGAAAATGAGGACGAAATTAAGGACTAACTTGAAAACGAAAATGAGGACGAATTTGAGGACTAACTTGAAACGAAAATGAGGACGAATTTAAGAACAAAGATTAGAACTGATTTGAGGATTAAAATGAGGACTAATTTGAAAAACAAAAATAAGGACGAAAATGAGGACGAATTTGAGGACTAACTTGAAAACGAAAATGAGGACGAATTTGAGGACTAACTTGAAAAACAAAAATGAGGACGAAGTGAGGACTAATTTGTGAAAGAAAATGAGGACAAAGTTCATTACTAACTTCAAACGATAATGAGGACGAATATAGGGACAAAGATGAGAAGTAACTTGAGGACGAAAATGAGGACTAACTTAAAAAACAAAAATAAAGACTAAGTTGCGGACTAATTTGAGTAAGAAAATGAGGACGAATTTAAGGACGAACTTGAAAGGAAAATGAGGACGTATTTAAGGACAAAGATGAAACTGATTTGAGGATGAAAATGAGGACTAATTTGAAAAACAAAAATAAGGACGAAAATGAGGACTAACTTGAAAATGGAAAATGAGGACGAATTTGAGGACTAACTTGGAAACGAAAATGAGGACGAAAATGAGGACTTACATGAAACGAAAATGAGAGCGAACATGAGGACTAACTTGAAAAACACAAATAAGGACGAAAATGAGGACTATCTTCAAAAACGAAAATGAGGACGAAGATGAGGACAAAGATGAGAACTGTCTTGAGGACGAAAATGAGAACTAACTTAAAAACGAAAATAAGGACGAATTTAAGGACAAAGCTGACAACTGACTTGAGGACGAAACTGAGGACTAATTTGAAAAATGAAAATGAGGACGAATTTGAGGACTAACTTGAAACGAAAATAAGGACGAAGTTGCGTACTAATTTGAGAAAGAAAATGAGGACGAAGTTGAGGACTAATTTGAGAAAGAAAATGAGGACAAATTTCAGGACTAACTTCTAAAGAAAATGAGGACAATGATGAAAACTTACTTAAGAATGAAAATGGGTCGAATTTAAGGACTAACTTGAACCGAAAATAAGGTCGAATTAAAGGATCAAGATGAGAACTGACTTGTGGAAGAAAATAAGGACTAACTTGAAAACGAAAATGAGGACGATATTGAGGACTAACTTGAAACGAAAATGAGGACGAATTTGAGGACTAACTTGAAAAACAAAAATGAGGACGAAGTTTGCCGACTAATTTGAGAAAAAAAATGAGGACAAAGTTGAGGACTAATTTGAGAAAGAAAATGAGGACAAAGTTCAGGACTAACTTCTACCGATAATAAGGACAATGATGAAAACTAACTTAAGAATGAAAATGAGGACGAATTTGAGGACTAACTTGAAACAAAAATGAGGACGAATTTAAGACAAAGATGAGAATTGACTTGAGAATGTAAATGAGGACTAACTTGAAAAACAAAAATGAGGACAAAGTTAAGGACTAACATTTAAATGAAAATGAGGACGAAAATGAGACCGAAGTTGTTTACATTGCCAGGATTAATTTTATTTAGCAGAAAAAAATTTAGATAAGCTTTAAATGCATGAAACTGACTGTCCCCATTTACCCCAAAATTTGGGGTAAATGGGGACAGCATAGTTATTTTAAAAAAGCTTTTAGAAAAAAGCCTCCTTAAATATATTACTGTAATAAGGGATGAAAAAACTTGAAAAAAAATTGTATTAGATATATGATAGTTAAACCAATTAAAATTTTTTCATTTTTTTTTATTTCAGTATTTTGTCTCGCATTTGAAAAATCATACAAAATTTTTTTCTTATTCCTTATGATTATTATAACAGAAATTCATTTGAATTTTGGATTTTTGTTATTATTAACTAAATTGACAAAAAAAAAAATTGAAGTGAATTTAAAAGTCAAAAGTTATTAAACAGCATTAGAACTACAAATAAATTAGTACATGCAGTCAATAAATATTTTTTTCCACCTTTTCCACGTAGTTTTCATCAGACAGAACAGAATTTCTTAAAGTTGAAACAAAAAAATTAATATTTAGCCGAGTTCAAGTGAAATTTATCCTTCAAAAGTTATTAAATAGCATTAGAACTACAAATAAATTAGTACATGAAGTCAATTAATATTTTTTCCACCTTTTCCACATAGTTTTTATTGA